AGAATGTTATAGAGAAGTAACAAGAAAAGGGGACTTCTATTCAGAGTGCTAGTCCTGCTCCTCACAATTAAAGCCACTACAGGAGCAGAGAATTGTTGTGATGCTTAGTGAATAACTTAAGATGATGTGGCCACAGAAAAGACAGAATCAGTATAAAAATTAGGACTGTGGCTTGCTTGCTAGGCCCACATTCCCAATATTATATCATTGCCTTTGCTATCAGAGAGCTCATCTTCACACTTTTGTAAAAAGAAGATTCTTTTAATTTACATGAATATTTAATTTTTAAAAAAGATTTTATTTTAAATAAATAAAGAGACATGAGAGACACACACAGAGAGAGAGAGAGAGAGAGGCAAAGACACAGGCAGAGGGAGAAGCAGGCTCCATGCAGGGAGCCTGACATGGGACCCGATCCCAGGTCTCCAGGCACCCCGGGGCAGGTGCCAAAATGCTGAGCCACCTGGGCTGCCCAAGGTCTAATTTTTAAAATTAAAATATAAACAAAAAGGTCATACTTTAACAGACTAATTTTAATGATTTGCTTTGAATATTGATCACATTTATTTGGTCTAGGCCTAGAAATATATATAATCTTACAGCATCTCTATACACAATTTGGATATAATAAATATACAGACACATTGACATATGTGTGTAATCTAACATACACTAAAATGTGTACATATATTTAATTAATACATATGTATTAGACACATAGATGTGCACATATTTACATGTAAACATGCAATCTGATGTATGCTAAAACTTAAACATATTTAATTTGAACACCTATACTATACATAAGTATAGCTTTACATATATATTTACATGCAAACATATACAAACACACTTTTCAATACATACACTAAGTCCTTGTGGTAAGTCATAACTAGACTTGGTTTTCCCCTCTCCAATGTTCTTTCTTTCTTTCGTTCTTTCTTTTTTTAAGATTTTATTTATTTATTTGTGAGAGACAGAGAGAGAGAGACAGAGACACAGGCAGAGGGAGAAACAGGTTCCCTCTGGGGAACCCGATGCGGGACTCGATCCCAGGACTCTGGGATCATGACCCGAGCCAAAGGCACACACTCAACCACTGAGCCATTCAAGCATCCCTCCAATGCCCTTTCTTAATCAACTACCTCAACCCACCACACTGAAATAATAAAAATTTTGTCCAGCTGAAAATGACCTACATAAAGAAAAATATGTACATTCATATGTCTATTAGTGCTAATGTATTTACAGCATACTTCATTCCCAAAAACAGTAATGAGAAATATGAACTAGATAAGGGAGTGTAAAAGGCCATTAGAGTAAATAAATTGCATTTATTCCATTGGTTTATCCAAACAAGACAGAACTTCCATTTTATCTGTATCGCAACATCCCAATTAAACCAATTCTTTTGCCAAACTTAACAGTTTGTTAGTTAATTAAATACACAAAATGCTCAAGGAAAAGATTTCTTGAGAAATGCTCCATTATGACTGTATCAAACATCTTTTCTAAACCGTGTGTGCCTTTTAAGAGCACCTAATAATTTTAGTTTAACATGATCATTGAATGTTTAATGTTCTCAGGAAAAAAAAAAAAAACAAAGTTGGAAGAAGTAATTAAAACCAGATCCTAAGTCAGTACATCTGAGACTCCAGACACTTAATCTGCATGTGCTGTGGTTTTCCAGTAAAACACTAAAATGAGGTAATTTTTTATTCTTAATATGGTCATGACTCTTGCAAAACCTAACCAGGGTGAAAAATGTTTATCTCATTTTCCTCATTAAATCATCATGCTGAATATAAGTTTCAATTTCTTGTGCTAAAAAGAGAATCTCTTATCTTTACCTTTGAGAAGTAACAAGAAAGCGAATTCCCGATAAATTGTGGATAATCTAAATATCTCAATGCAATCACCTTATTTTACTCACTTCTCTTTTGTAAATCCAAATAAGGAATTGTGAAATTGGTTTACGTGTCATTTTCTCCTCTCACCTTTGTCTCATCTCTTTTGGGACTTAATAATTGGGCTAGAGGAGGCACAGAGAAGAAAACTTTTCCCAGAAGTGTGAACCTCGGAACCTTAGAAAGGAAAAACTGGTTAACAGCCACAACATACACACAGAGCACACCGAAAGCAGGGAGGAGAAAATGAGATGATGAAAAAAATTTTTTTCCATGAACTTGAATGGAATAGCTGATCTTGTGTAACTAATAATTAAATAATTCTGCATTACCATGCTCCTGTAGTCCCCATTTTTATTTTTTTCTTTTAGATCACTGAAAAATATATTTTTAAAATATTACATTTTTTTCAATCATCTGTATGATTATGCCAGGTGCATAACAATTAGGAGCTTCAGGTACTGAAACACATGGGGTAGCATATTTTATCATAATGGAAAGAATGAGCTAAGTAAGTGGATAGGATAAATGATTATGTGCTCAATTGGTACTTTAAGAACTTATGAGAAAGGTAAATTTCCTAGATCAGGTCTTGAGGAAGGTTCTAGAAGCCATAATATAGCTATTGTAAGCAAGCCTCGATGTAATGTTTATTACAACATTAAGCCTCTCAATGTGCTATTAAAAGAAGAAAAACCACAATCATAGGTCCATACATGTATTGAACCAGGACAAAATCTGGTAACCTATTAGTAAATCATGGAAGGTAACTTTTCTTTAGATTTTATTTATTTATTCATGAGAGACTCACAGAGAGGCAGAGACAGGCAGAGGCAGATGCAGGCTCCATGCAGGGAGCCTGACATGGGACTCAATCCTGAGACCAGGATCACGCCCTGAGCCAAAGGCAGACGCTCAACCGCTGAGCCACCCGGCATCCTGAAGGTAACATTTTTAAACAGCATTATTTTTGGATATTCTCAATTTTTTTCCCAAATTGTCAAGAATGTCCATTAAAAATGCAAGGAGGGCAGCCCCCATGGCTCAGCAGTTTAGTGCCGCCTTCAGCCCAGGGCATGATCCTGGAGACCCAGGATGGAGTCCCATGTGGGGCTCCCTGCATGGAGCCTGCTTCTCCCTCTGCTTGTGTCTCTGCGTCTCTCTCTGTCTCTCATGAATAACTAAATAAAATCTTAAAAACAAATAGTCTCTTTGCTCTTTCCTAAATAAATAAATAAATAAGAACTAATAACCTAGGAATGTGCAAACTGTTAAACACACTAGAAGCCCCATTTAATATGTCCTAAGAGTTGAAAACCCTAAACACTTATGAAAACTCAGGGCTAACCTAGCAAAAAAAACAATCTTTTTAAAGAAACTCTTACTGAGATAAAAGGATTTATCTCACAAGTGCAAAGATAATGCAAGTGGAGAGCTGAGAATTCCACAGAGCACCACAAACTTGAAGCTATCTTCTGTGAATTTGAAATGGACATCACAGGAAATTCAAACATGACTCAAAAGAGTCTTAAAATATTATATAAATGGTGAGCTAGAGAAGATGCTGGGTCAAATGGTGCTCTAGACTTTAGCATAGAATTCTAGAGTTTTGCAGCTACAGGAATCCTAGAACCATCTAATCCAACTCCCTAATTTTACAGGGTAGGAAATTAAGGCCAAAAGGAGTTAACGACTGTCTAAAGTCCTATACCTTTCTCAGTAAGCTAATCCAACTACAGTTTTATGGAAATAAAGAGTAGAAATGGAAAACTGCTATTCTAAATGGCTGATTGACAACATGGCTTAGTGGAATTTTTTTTTTTTTCAAATTATGTTTGCTGTACTTCATTATGTCTGGGCAATTAATGGCATGAAAGGGGAAAAGGTAGCACCATTAAGAAATCTCCTTTAAGAGGCACTGGTGTCAAGCAATGTCATTTTCTCCCACCTTCAGAATCTGGGTACTAAGGTTCTAACAAGTTCCCAAGGACCTTACGGAGTCAAAGAGAAATGAGAGAAAGCACTGGCTTTCTAATATTTAGCTTCACGTTTTGATCAGTATTTTTTCATCCCAAGGAGCATTTTAAAAATTAGTTAAGTGGTGTATATTAAGAGGCCATGTCATCACTATGATCGGTTTCAGTACTTCTGAATGATTTGTGGTTAGTGATCAAATGTAATTATCACCGTATAAGAAATATAACCCAATATTAGAAATGTTAATATTTAACTGTTTTATTTTAATAACCTTGTCCTATTACCTTGTCAAAGACCTTTTGAAAAAAAAGAAAAGACCTTTTGAAACCCTGACTAGATCATATTCATGGATAAAGCTTTATGTAAATGTTATGTTTAACTTTTAAGTAGGGTAAATCATTGTTTAACCTTAGAAGAACCCTTCGGCTTTTTCTCCTAGTAGATTACAGATATCTAAATGTTTTGTAACCCCCTTTTGGTATTGTAGAGTTAAATTCTTGTCCATATGGAAGTTGTTAGTCCTCTCTGGGATTTTTGTTTTGAAGGATACTTACTGTTCCTTCTTTTTAATTCTTTATACAGTTGAATACACTGCTAAGCAGATTCCTTGAGAACTTGTTAGAACTTTAGTACCAATTGAGCACATAATCACTTATCTTATCCTATTACTTAGCTCATGCTTTCAATTATGATAAAATATGCTACCCACTGTGTTTGAGTACCGGAGCTCCTAATTGTTAAGTACTTGGTATAATTTTTCAAACTCTTCCAATTTTCATGATTAGATTATATGACATTTTTATCTACAGAACATTCTTTATATGAGAAGATTTAGATCATTCCCTAAATAAAATGTCTACCTATCCTTATTTATCCCATGAGTACTAACATTGGGAAGGGAAAGTAGATAGGAAAAAATGAAAAAACAAATTCTCTTAGTCACCTTAGGCTGTGAAGGCCTGTCTAAAGCCCAGGAGTTTATTCTGTCTCAACCAAGATCACATGAGTTGTTACATTTCCAATCCACTAATTTTTTCATTGTGACCTACAAAGTTAATTCAATTTATGCCTAATTTTTCATTATAATTCTTTAATAAAAGAAGTTAATTACCTTACCTGAATTCCAACATCGGTGATTTTATAACACTCAGATAGAGAAAGTTCCTTTATTTTTTTATGCCTGGAAAGTGTCATCAAACCCTAAAAATATTTAAAATAGAGATAATTTTGTGACTACAATTTAGTACAGACAGTGTATTTCTGATAAAATAACAACCATTTCTGTAAACTAAAAAAAAAATTAGCTTCTGTCTTATATTTCTTTATGCTTAAATTATAAAATCATTTTGTTAGGCAACATTATTAAATAAAAATTTCAGGTTGTCACTAATGTTTTGTAAAAAATATAACAGAATCCTCCTGAGGCAAGGGAAAGGAGAGCAAAAATAAACTATCAGGACTACGTCAAAATAAAAAGCTTCTGCACAGCAAGGAAATAACCAATAAAACTAAAAGACAACTTACTGAATGGGAGAAGATATTTGCAAATGACCTATCAGATAAAGGGTTAACAGCCAAAATATAAAGAACTTATACAACTCAACACCCAAAAGATGAATAATCCAATCAAAAAATGGAAGACATGGATAGATATTTCTCCAAAGACATCCAGATGGCCAACAGACACATGGAGAGATGCTCACCATCACTCATCATCAGGGAAATGCAAATCAAAACTACAATAAGATATCACCTCACACTTGTCAGCATAGCTAAAATAAAAAAAAAACAGGGCAGCCACGGTGGCTCAGCGGTTTAAGCGCCCCCTTCAGTCCAGGGTGTGATCCTGCAGACCCGGGATCGAATCCCGCATCAAGCTCCCTGCATGGAGCCTGCTTCTCCCTCTGCCTGTGTCTCTGCCTCTCTCTCTGTGTCTCTCATGAATAAATAAATAAAATCTTAAAAAAAAACTTTTAAAAAATAAATAAAATAAAAAACATAAGTGTTGGTAAGGATGTGAAGAAAAAGAAAACTTTTTGCCATGTTGACAGGAATACAAACTGTTGCAGTCACTGTAGAAAACAGTATGGAAGTTCCTCAAAAAGTTAGAAATACGACTAACCTACGATTCAGCAATCACAGTACTGGGTATTTATCTAAAGGATATAAAAACACTAGTTAAAAGGGATACATGGACTCATATGTATATAGCAGCATTATTTACACTAGCCAAATAATGGAAGCAGCCCATCCATTGATAGATAAATGGATAAAAAAGATATGAGATCTTATTTATATATATAAAAAAAGAATGGAATCTTGCCATTTGCAATACCAGAGATGGAGCTAGAGAGTATAATACTAAGCAAAATAAACCAGTCAGAGAAAGACAAATACTATGTGATATCACTCATTTATTTTTTTTAATCTTTTTTTTTAAATTTTTATTTATTTATGATAGTCACAGAGAGAGAGGCGCAGAGACACAGGCAGAGGGAGAAGCAGGCTCCATGCACCGGGAGCCCGACGTGGGATTCGATCTCGGGTCTCCAGGATCGCGCCCTGGGCCAAAGGCAGGCGCCAAACCGCTGCGCCACCCAGGGATCCCTGATATCACTCATTTAGAATTTAAGAAACAAGCAGGGGTGTCTGGATGCCTCAGTTGGTTACGTGTCTGCCTTCAGCTGGGGTCATGATTCCCGGGTCCTGGGATCAAGCATGCCCAGTGTCTTTGGGCTTCTTCTTCTCCCTCTCACACCTCTCTCACTATCTCTTTCTCTCAAATAAATAAAATCTTTAAAAAAAAAAAAAGGGCACTTTGATGAGCATGGGATGATGTATGGAATTGTTGAATCACTATAACATACATCCGAAACTAATATAACACTGCATGTTAACTATACTGGAATTAAAATTTTTAAAAATAGGGACCCCTGGGTGGCTCAGCGGTTTAGCGCCACCTTCAGCCCAGGGCGTGATCCTGGAGACCTGGGATCGAGTCCCACGTCGGGCTCTCTGCCTGGAGCCTGCTTCTCCCTCTGCCTGTGTCTCTGCCTCTCTGTGTCTCTCATGAATAAAAAAATAAAATAAAATAAAAATTTAAAAATAGAAATAGAAATACAAAAAAAAAAAGAAGAAAAAGAGGATATTGGCTACTCTTTTATTTCTCCTCCTCCTACCCCAGTACTTAGCATAGGAAGAAGAAAAAAGAAGTGTCACAGAATCCCAGAGCCAGAAAATTCCTTATCTTGTTTCCTGTGTCCAGGTACATATTATCTGAATCAATATAAACAAATCTTAAAGACCCCTAAACTTATAACTTTATTTTGAAGACAATTCGTGTGGCTAATCTATTTGTCGGTAAATCTTTATACCTAACGTAAAAATCTGAAATCTTTAGCTCATTTTATTATGTTTAATTGCTTAGAAAGGGGACAGATCTTTATATAAAGGCCTACAGACATGTAATCATTCATCAGTAGCCCACTTTTTCTGTTTAAAAGCTTTGTTTCGGGATCCCTGGGTGGTGCAGCGGTTTGGCGCCTGCCTTTGGCCCAGGGCGCGATCCTGGAGACCGGGGATCGAATCCCACATCGGGCTCCTGGTGCATGGAGCCTGCTTCTCCCTCTGCCTATGTCTCTGCCCCTCTCTCTCTCTGTGTGACTATCATAAATAAATAAAAATTTAAAAAGAAAGCTTTGTTTCTTTTTGATTCTTGTTTCTTTGTTGCTTTTAAATTCTTTCAATTTAAAGAAATTGCACTTTTTAGTCCTTAATTTTTTTAATATGGGGTTCTGCTGTTCCATTTCTCAGTACTTTCCCCACTAAACTGGAGAAACTGACTATGTGCCTTATAGATGCCATTCTCCTGGATTTGCATTCAGGATCACTTTTATTATACTTCCTATGAGATGGACAAGAACAGTTTCCTCTCATCCTATGGTCCCAGAGCTGCCAGGCAGGGAAAACCCCAGAAATGGTACATGGGTGTGTCCTTTTAAAATTTTATTTGTAGGACTGGTTTACATTTTATTTATCATAAATACAGCATTTGGACCATAATTGAAAATGGGTTATGAAAATATTAAATCTTGTTTTTTTTCACCGATGCACATATTAGGCCGTTTCATAAAAACAAAACAAAACAAAACAGTCCAGGTCAAGGAAAGAAGTGCTTGAAAATCTATTTAAGAGACGTCTGGGTGGCTCAGCAGTTGGGCGCCTGCCTTCAGCCCAGGGTGTGATCCTAGAGTTCTGGGATCAAGTCCCACATTGGGCTCCCTGCATGGAGCCTGTGTCTCTGCCTCTCTCTCACTATGTCTCTCATAAATAAATAAATAAAATCTTAAAAAAAGAGAAAATCTACTTAATTGTTAAATAATCTATTTAATTACTGTTTAAACAGTAATCTCTGATTTTATTTAATGGTTTTGTATGCCATCCAAAAATAAAATCACTCCATTCGTTTTAAAAACTTTATTGCAAATATGGACTCTTCTGTTAGGAATACATTATGTTTTCTGACTCCTTTCTTCTTTCTTTTTTTTTTAAGATTTTATTTATTTATTCATGAGGGACACAGAGAGAGAGGCAGAGACACAGGCAGAGGGAGAAGCACGCTCCCTGCAAGGAGCCTGATGTGGGATTCGATCCCAGACCCTGGGAAAACGCCCTGAACCAAAGGCAGATGCTCAACCACTGAGCCACCCAGGCATCCCTGCCTCCTTATTTCAAAACAAAAAAATTACTAAATCCTGTGAAGCCAGCACATGTGATCTAGGTTCCAGATCTGAATGCTATTTTATTCATGTTAGAAGAATCGGAGTTTAGATATTCCCCCACAGAAAACAAGTTGTTTAAACAAAAATAATAAGAGATGCAGGGCTTGTCTGATTGCCCTATACCTGATAATAGCTCAGTGTATTTTCTTAGCCTATGGGGAATTTGTCCTATGAAACTCTCTCTGGAGTTTTCACATTTTTTTTTCCTTTTCTGTAGTCAAATTAAAATTTTTTAAGACAAACTAGAAATGAAGTATACTTGTTAAGTATGACATTTGCCTGTGTTCTCTTTACCACTTTATTCAAGATTACTAAAAGTTAACTAATATTAAAATAGAATGTTGTATTTCATCACTATAATTGTTCATTAAAACATATGGCCTCAAAATTTAATTATTTAAACATAATTAGCCACTAGGTAAATGCAAATCAGAATCACAATGAGATGTCACTGCATGCCTTACAATGATGGCTATACTTAATAAGACAGATAAGGGGGCACATGGGTGGCACAGTGATTGAGCATCTGCCTTTGGTCAGGTCATGATCCCGGGGTTCTGAGATCAAATCCCGCATTGGGCTCCCCACAGGTTGCCTGCTTCTCCCTCTGCCTATGTCTCTGCCTGTCTCTCATGAATAAATAAATAAAATCTTTTTTAAAATAAATAAATAAAAATAAACATAAATAAAAAGACATAATAAAAAATGTTGGTGAGGATGTGAAGAAATAAAAATCCTCATTCACTGCTGTTGGGAATGTGAATTGGTCCAGTCACTGTAGAAAATTCAGTCTGGCAGTTCTTCAAAAAATTAAACACAAAGTTACCATATGACCCAACAATTCCACTCCTAGATATATACCCAAGAGAAATGAAAATATATGTCAATACAAAAAACTTGTACTCAGATGTTCCATAGCAGCATTATTCATAATAGAGAAAAGAAATGAAACAAGACAAATGTCCATCAGTTGGTGAAAGGATAAATAAAATGTGTTATATCCATATAATAAGATATTATTTAGCAATAATAAAGTATGATGCATACTACTGCATAGATAAAAAAAACTTTTAAAACATTATGCTGCAAAAAAATAAATAGAAAAAAAAAAAACAAAACATAGCTGAGAAGAAACCAAACCCAAAAGGCCACATATTTTATGGTTCCACTTATTTGAAAAGTCTGGAATAAGCAAATATATAGAACCAGAAAGTAGATTAGTGGTTGCCAAGTCTGGGTGGTGACTGGGTCGAGGCTAGGGAATACTGCTTATGGGAGGGGAGCTTCTTTTTGAAGTGATGAAAATGTTCTGGAATTAGATTCTGGTGATGGTTGCCTAACTCCGTCAATATACCAAAACCCACTAAATTGTACACTTTGAATCATTGAGTTTTATAGTATGTAAATCATATCTCAGTA